TTAAATTTGATTTAAATAGGATTTGATGTTGATTTAAAGCTTTTTGCATGAAGTTCCTATGACTGTTCTAGTAGGGAATGGAGATAAAAATATAACTCTTAATTATGAAATGGCCTTGCACTTTGACAGGAAAATGTCTTGAGAAATAGCATTCGGTTTTCCAGGCACAGATACAGAATAAATAATACGAGGACTGCTGCTTGATCCCTAAATGGGGAAATGAAAGAGTAGCAGTTATTTGTTCCTATCATAGTGTCATAAGAGAAAACAGTCTTTGAAAAACACTGGCTGATGTGCTTTTTCTTGAGCTGTTTCCTGTAGTGGTCAGGTGCCAGTGATTTTCATTTTGAGTAGCACTTTGTTCATTTTGCTCCTTTTGATACATCTGACAAGGGTAATGGATATGCTTTTACCCTTAAACATGCTAATTACTAGCCTTCACTGTTCCTTTATGCGATCAAATACTAAATAGCATTTCAGGGACATTTCATAGTGTTCAAAGTGTAGAGCCAGATAATTCCTCATGGCAAGGAATTACCAGGGTGCAAAAAGTGATTATTCTCTGGTTTTCCACAAGAAATCACAGGTCTATTTTGCCTTTATAGATCAATTTCTTCATTTTTTCACCCCCGTATTTCCAAAACTTTCTAATACGGGAACTTTGTTATTTCCTTATGCTGCTGATAAGGAAATGGATTAAGGATAACTTAACTGGTGGGTGGAATTTTATCTCAGCTGTGTGAGTCGTGTGGTTTCTCTGCCGCTGCAGTGGTAGTTTAAGAGGAGATGAGGTGTGCACTACCTGTAAACCAAGATGCTCTGTGTTAGTGCTGAGAGAGCAGCAATAACTGTAGTTTCCTTACATTGCACTGGTGCAAAAAGACAAAGTGAGGCTGGGAGCATTAGAGGAGGAAGGGAAAAATTGCGGCAAATTCTGGGGCTTATTACAAAGCCTGAAGGCTCTACCCAATGCCTGACTGCAGATCCATGATCTTAGTGGGATCCCTGATTTGCCCATGTGACATCACTATAATAATTTTAAAATGGTTTATGTAAAATTCTGTATATCTCAAGAAAAGTTGAGACTTCTGAGGAAATTAGGGAATGATTTTCAATTATCTGCACTGCAATTTAGTTTTAACTTTTGTAGTAAACTGTTCCATTTCCCACAGAATATTTATCATCATTATTCAGGCTGGCTCAGTTTCACTTTGTCTGCTGAAGGTCATAATTTTCACAAAACTTATAGTACAGGCAGTCTTCTAGTTTCATGCTTGTCTTCCTTCTCCAACCCTGAAACAACTCTCCCTTAGCTCTGCTGCTTTTGGAGTAACAAGAGAAATATGTTTTAGTAAAAGTATTTTGAATGTAACTGACATCAAATGTAGGCATATTGTAACAGAAGTATAGGGAAAGGAATATATTTTCACCTCCATAAAAACTAGACATGTTTTATATACACATAGACAGTGTATTTTGATATGCCTAAAGATTCTTTTTCTGTTAATAACTATGTGGCTTATGGGCTCTGAATTTGAATAAAATAAATGAGCTTACCAGGAAAGCTGCATTTGTAATCTCTAGACAGATTCTCAGAACAGTAAGTTCACCCAGCAATGCAGAGTAAAGACTTTAATTTGTGCTCTGAAAAATCATACTTCCTTCAGGGAATGCTAAAGGTGGGAGCAAACCTGGTTTTGACCCCAAGCAACAAGCAGAGATAGTGTCATGTGAAGATTGCATCTTGATTATTTTTTTTTTTGGTGTGTGTGTATTTTTTTGGGTTGGTTTGTTTGTTTGGTTTGGTTGTTTGTTTGTGGCTGAGTTTATCATCTTTGTTTCTGTCCTCCCCAATGCTGCTGCCTCTCCCTAGATGACAGCAGAACCACAAGCCAGTTGGATGAGTTTCAGGAGTGTCTATCCAAGTTCACGCGCTACAACTCTGTCCGACCCCTGGCAACACTGTCTTACGCGAGTGACCTCTACAATGGCTCCAGCATAGTATCCAGGTAAGATATAATGTGCTTCTAATGGTTTTCATGCTGTTACAGGCTGCTGAGGCTGAGTTAATAACCTGTATTCAACAAGTTATGGTCTGTACATACATAACGCTTTGCTTCCCAAAACCAGTTTTGGTCTGTGAAAGCACTCAAGGACAGTTCCCATTGGTACTAGTCAAGTACCCACTGGTACTTATTTCAATTGTTCCCACTGGTGTTGGTCAAGCCTGAATTCAGAACCTTTGAGGTGCCATTGAGTATCTGTACCTGTTGTGATAAAGCACAAAGCATGTTGTATGCACAGTCCTCTTCAGGTTAGTATAGTTGTGTTGTGATGCAGTTCTAGCATTTTAAGAAACATCGATCTTATTTAGTGCTGGTAGCTTTAAGTTTCTGTGGTATATTTAAATATTGTTGGTAGGTCCAATTGTAATGGCAAATGCTAAAAATCTCAGTTCTTAACTGCTATTGCTTGAATTTCTGAGCATTAGAAGCTATGTTTACAGTGCTAAATACTAGTGAGGGGTGATTGTGGTAGAGCCAGCTTGACAGCTCAGTTCTTGCCAACAACAGCTATGTATCCCCTGCCATGTGGGGTGGTCATGTCCGGTGCGCTGCTGCTGAAGCTCATCTGAGCTTCCTGTGGACCAGTTTAGACACTTAATGGGTGAAATGCTATTGACTGTCTTTCGATTTAGTTTCTTCTTGTTTAGCTCCATGAACCAGCTCCCTTAGACATTAGGCTTAAGAGAGCACATGGGACCTGCCAACAACCCTAACCTTAAAGTGGTTTCAGCAGCTGTGGAAATACACCCTGGGGCATTTAATTAGTCTGTGGTAGCTTGTTTGGAGCTAGTTGCGGTGGAAAAAATGATGCAATGCGTTAACTGGTAAATCTTTTCAGCACAGCATATGTGCAGGCCCTGTTAGCTTCTTGCAGTCATGTTTCACAAATTTAAAAGTATTCATAGCAACCTTCTGAGGCAGACAAGTAGTATCATCTCTATCTTATATGTGTACCCATGGGGAGCAGGAGATCCAGAGTGGCCATACTTCAGGTCTTTAAAGGACCATTACAGTGACGCAATGAATTGAACTTGGGTTTTGAATCTTGATCTAATGCCTTACGAAAGGGCCACTCAGACAGTGGCAGAACAGCTTGAGTATTTGTTGACATACTCTGAGAAGTTTGCACTATGTGAAGAAATGGAGGCATGTGTAGCACAGAATATGTACTTTTAAAACCACATTGATTGCTTAACTACTGCAATACGTAGTAGGAATGTATAATGTCTGACTTAGCCACAGAGGTCGGAACACAATAATCACTGATCTGACGTATATTTAACCTGCTCTGATTAGGTTCACGCTAGCTGCAATGAAATGCAGATGGGAATCTCACTGCGACATAGACAAACTTCCTCAGCTACCAACTTCAGCACGGATTGGTTTTTGCTCCTTTGCCCTTTCTTCTCCTTGACATTCTGCAAAAGCAGCATTTTTGTGGTATTTGGTTAGAAAATGCTGGAAGGGCAGTAAATCTCACTCCCGTTTTGAAGGCATTATAATTCTTGGGTGAAATATATGTTTGAGAAGTATGTGTGTTACTGTTGTTAAAATGAAGATAGTGGGGCCTCCATCCAAGCCAGTGCTAGAATATGTAGTTAAATGCATTTAACTGAAAAATAACCTGGCTTCCAACTCAATGTTCTCCCCTGCTCATGCTTTTTATTTATCAAAGCACTTAAGAAATTTTTAGGGGTTTTAATATATGGGCTGAGTAAGACTGTTCACATCTGAGCATGTCCTTGGTAAAGCAGGGCTGCTGAATGTGCTGCTGCTGTAACTCCTGTTAGCTTCTGGCTATACAAACAGTTCCTTTGAAGTCTGAATTTGTTAATCGAGAGTTTACATACATTGTGTTGGCTAGCATACTTCTCTGTTCACCACTGTTCCTTATCCAAATTAATAGGCTCAAGTTCAGAAGGAGATGCTGTGAAGCTAAATGAGGTGCGTGCCTTGGTGATGGCAGCTTAAGATAATAAAAAAGCAGCCTTTAGGTACCCATGATGGGCCAAATTAATTATTGGGGTGCTTTAAAAGCTTTATTTTCATTTTTTAAGGGCTGTGAAAAGTTTGATTACGTGGTCCACTACACTGATTTCTAAAGGTGTTCCTAGACATACTGTTAGGAAATGCTGGTGAAATGACAAAAAGTAAGTCTTGTTGTTTAGCTGTTGCTGTTGATACAAACTGCATTTATACTCAAAGCAAATATAAAGTAAGGAATCCTTGTACCTTTTTTTTTTTTTTAAAGTATTTTAAGGGGATATTTTAAGTATACTTAAGAATAAAAGTAGAATTGGCAGGAAGTTAGACTTCCTTGTACTTAATTTAGTTTGTTTAAAGAGCAAAAATGACAACAACAAAAAAAAATTTACCAACCCTGCTGTTACAAATGGGCCAAATAGAAGACTGTTCGGTTTGCATTCCTTTTACCCTGCATGGAGCTTGCACACTGGACTCCTAAAGCTCCACTGGCTTAAATAAGGCTAATGCATCTTAAAAACCTATTTATGTTTGCAAAGGAAGAATATGGAGATATGTTCCTTGTCTTCAAAACCTTGAAGCTTATTTAGAAGGGAAATAAAATTGGGTTTATGGTAACAGGATGAAGTGTAATTAAAGACATATAAGATGTATATAAGCAGGCCAGAAAAAAACCTGAAACTGAGCAGCAACATTGCTCTCCTGAGTGCTTTGCCACAAGAATATTTATGAATGTCTGGATTTCTTGAGGACTAATAAAAGAGCACAAACAATACCATGCGTTACTATAAAAAACTGATGCAATACTTGGGAAATCTGCAGCTGCCCTCTGGGAGGAAGGGAGGATAAGCCCATGCCCTGCTCCCCACTTCCCGGTTTCCTCAGGCTGGCAGGCGGCTCACCTTGCAGGGCTGGCTGCGCTGCGGCGGCCGTGCAG